TTAAGAGAGTATGGGATTTCATTCTTGCAAAACCAGAAGATAAAATGTTTTTATTTGTTATGGCTGCAATACTAAGTATGCACCGTGAATTTATTTTAACTCAAGACTTAGATTTTGATATTATGATGCAATTTACATTAACACTAACAAATGTATTTGACTATCAATTAATATGGGACGCTGATATATTGTGCAACGAATTTAAATCAAAAGCATCTAAAGAACAAATTGATATTGTCTTTGGAAATTGAATAATTTGTTAATCATTTCTTCTTTTTGTCCTTTTTAAATAAATAAGATATAACAATAATAATTTTATATTAAAAAGTATTTACTATATTGTTTCATAAAGTTCATTCAATTATTATAAAAAGGAGTTAGAAATTACATGGTTGGAAAATATTCATTCCATCCCATGCAGTTGATACAACAACTCCTTGTATTTGTTGATGCCAATGTGCTTCTTTGATTCCTTTTTGCCCTTGATGAAGGAACATTAACTGTGGTGGAATTTGTTCAATTTCTTGAATATGATATTCTTCAGCAACTTCTCTATCAGCCTCCATTGAGATATCCCAGAAACTGATTGAGTCATCTTCACTTGATGCCAAAAATGAACTTTCATCATGTGGACACCACTCAACACTAGTGATTGCTTTCTTATGCCAATTGAATGTAGCATAAGGAAAGTCAAATTGTCTAAAATCCCAAACTTTAAGTTCTCCATCATCCCCACCAGAAACAATATAAAAGGGGTTAATTTTATTCCAATTTACAACATTAACATCACAATTATGCCCAATAATACTTTTAACGCATTGTTTCTTTGTTCTAGCATCCCACAACTTAATCGTGTGGTCAACAGAACAACTCAAAAATACATCAGCTTCATTTGGTGACCATTGAAGATCTTCAACACTACTCTTATGACCCATATAACTCTCTGGACTTCCTCTCCACTCTCCTCCTCTTTCTTCCCATAACATAATTCTACCATTTAGTGTCCCTGTGATTAATCTTCCTTCAACAACTGGTGACCAGTCTAATGCAAACCCTTCACATCTATGATGTAAAGTTGACTTTAATTCATTTCCACTTGACACTATTCCACCATCAACACCTTTAATATGAGATGACATATCATAAATATAAACATTTCCATCTTCTCCCCAAAGCCCAACAATTCCAGGTCTTTGTTTCATTGTTCTACATCGATTAATTCCACAAGGAATTAAAGCACTGGAAGTAGTTAATATTGGGTCAGTATAATCAAGGTCCTCTTCTATCTTTGGTTTTAGAGGATCAGCATTTTCACTATCATCCTCATCCTCTTCATCTTGGTGAGTAATACACATACCTTCAGCTTTGACAGTATACACTTTATTCTTTTTTCCAGAAGCCGCATTTGTTCCAGCAGCAAAGTATAAAGTATATGGAGCAGTAGTTCTTAAAGCACCTAATGTATCTGGAATGATGTCAAAGGATAAACAACTCCATTCAAGACTTAATTCATGAAGCATTTTATAAGCTCCACCAGAAACTTCTAACTCAACATTCTCCTCCTCCATAGCATTTTCTGTTTGAGTTTTGTTTTGGTTAGGGATATATACTTCAGTTTCAACTTTTACATTATCTTCTGGATCTTCAATAACGTCCTTTTCAAATCCTTTTATATCTCCTAAATCTGTTTCTTCAATTCCATCATCCATTTTTGTTTCTTTTTCTTCACTTTGCACAATCTCTTCTTCTCCCTCTTCTTCAGGTTCAACTTCAGCATCAAATTCATCTTCAAGCTCTTCCATTAATTCTTCATTATTTTCTTCATCTTCTTTAACTTCAATTGGTGTTGTTAATGTCTTTTTACTATTAACAAAGTGTTTACTCATATCAACTCTATTTGCCTTTCGTGCTTTTCGTGAATTTCTGTCCATTTCAATGCTTCAATCAAATGATATGAATATTTAAATTTTAGGGTTTCTTTCTATTTCAAAATAATTCAATTTCACATCTATTTATAATTTGTTGAGGGTTTTTTTAAATCACAAATTTTGTTTTTTGTGTTTTAAGGGAAACTTAAAGAAAAAGAATAATGAGATTAGAAACAAAAGTTCGATATCTTAAAAAAAAGAAATGGAGGAGCAAGTTTGTTAGTATATATATTGAACAAAAAAAATGATTAAACTAGTTAACACCTATAGCAAAATAGTATGAAATTAGTCATTGTTGGTGATGGTGCTGTAGGAAAAACATGTTTATTAACTCGATATCGTTTAAATACTTTCCCTGAAGACTATGTACCAACTGTATTTGAAAACTTTGTTGAACAAGTGTCATACAAGAAAGGTCATATTAATTTACAAATGTGGGACACTGCTGGACAAGAAGATTTTGATAGAATTCGTAATAGAGCTTATCCTGATACAGATGTTTTTCTCATTTGTTATGCTGTTGATGACCAAAATTCTTTTGAGAATATAGAAGTTAAAGTTTGTTTATTATTTCTTGTGACTTTCAGTCATTTTCTATGATTTGCTTTTCATTTTTTTCTTAATTCTTTATTGAAAACACACATTTACAAGTAGTGGATTTCAGAAGTAACTCATTTCTGCAAAGATGCAAAGATTGTGCTTGTTGCTACAAAAAGTGATCGAAGAAAAGATAAAAGTACAGAATGTATCTCAACTGCAAAAGGAGAAGAATTGAAAACAAAGATTGGTGCTGCTGCTTTCTGTGAATGTAGTGCTAAAACAGGATCTAATGTAAAAGAAACTTTTAAAGTAGCAATTGATGTTGTTCGTGGAAAAGCTGAAGAAAAGGAAAAAACAAGCAAAGAAGGATGTGTTGTTGTTTAAGCAAATTATTCCTTTTGTGAAAAAAAAAGGAAATTTACCTCCCTACTAACAATTCACAGTTTATTTGTTATTTCTAAATTTTTGTGTTATTTAAATTTTTAAGAATTTGTTTTTCTTCTATTTGTGTTGAAGTATTAGAGAATTAAATAAATAATAAAACAAATAATAAAAATAATAAAATGAACTTAAAAAAAAGAGAATTATAAAAAGTCAAACAAATTAACTATGGAAGGAGGAGAAAATGATTATGGATTTTCATTAACAACATTCAGTCCCAGCGGAAAATTAGTTCAAATTGAATATGCTCTTAATGCTATTTCTGCTGGTTCAACTAGTGTAGGTATTAAAGCTAAAGATGGAATTGTATTAGCAGTAGAAAAATCATTACCACCAATGTATATAAGTGAGTCAATACAAAAAATTAATCATTTATGTGATAGCGTTGGAATGGTAAGTAGTGGAATGGGACCTGATGCTCGAGTATTAGTAAAAAAAGGAAGAAAAGAAGGACAAAAGTATTGGTTAGAATATCAAGAAGATATAAATTGTTCAATGATGACAAGAAAGTTAGCATATTTAATGCAAGAATATACTCAAAAAGGAGGTGTTAGACCTTTTGGAGTTAGTGTATTAGTTGCAGGATTTGATGGTAAAGTACCACGTTTATACCAAGTTGATCCAAGTGGATCATTTTGGACTTGGAAAGCCACAGCACTTGGAAAGAATATGACATCAGTCAAGACATTCTTAGAAAAACGATATCACGATGATATTGAATTAGAAGATGCTATTCATACTGCTATTTTAGCATTAAAAGAGGGATTTGAAGGAGAAATGAATGAACATAATATTGAAATTGGAATTTGTACAAAAGAAAATGGATTTAAAGTGTTAACTCCATCAGAAATCAGAGATTATTTGGATATTGCCAATTAAATCGTTTAATTTCATTTTCTTCAAGTTTTTTAGTTTTTTTTATTATAAATTATAGTTTATTTACTTTGGTATAAAAAAATAATTTTAGTTATTACTTTCTTGTTTAATTCAAATGAAGTATTACTTCATCTTAATTACTTTTATCCCTTTTGTTGTTTCTAGTGGTATAGATGCTTGTGACACAGAACATAGTGGATCAGATGAGTATTGGTACGTTCCTGACTTATCTACATTTGAAATTATCATAGGAAGTTTAATTCTCATATTTACTACAGTTTCTATTCTTCCTCAAATTATTAAGATTATTAGAAGAAAGACGAGTGAAGGTTTATCACCAACTTATCTTTTCTTAATGGTTTGTAATCAGATATTTGCTACAACAAACTCAACTATTTTAAATTTTCCTTTTATGGAAAGCTGTTCTGATATTGGTTTATCAAAATGTCTTCCTCCACTTCTTTCATATTTTCAGTTTGTTTCACTTGTGATAATGGGATTTATTGAATATACGCTATTCCTTCTATTTTATCAGGACAAACATTCTCGTATCTTTAAACGAGTAATCCTTTATTATATTATTATTATTGTATTCTTTATCTTTACCGCAATTATGGTGTCAATTAGTTTAACTAAAATCGGTATCTGTGAACCATTTACTTACTATTTCGCATATATTTTTGGTATTCTTTCTTCAGTTGTTACTTTTGTAGAATATCTTCCTCAACTTTGGAAAACTTTTTCAACTAAAAGTGGTGGTTCAATGTCATTAAGTGCAAATACTTTTCAAACAATTGGTTTTCTAGTTGTATTATGCTTTATGTTTTTCTCTACTGAACAACATATCACGACAATTCTTTCTTCTGTAGTTTCCTTAATTCAGCATTCATTACTTGTTATTATGCAAATCAAATATGACTATATTGATTTCTATTTATGTAATAAGCACTATAAAAAAATTGAATCTCCAGATATTTCCCAAAATGAAGAAACTAAAAGACTTATTGACTCACAAAACTAATTTTAATTTTTTTATTATTTTTTTAGTTTTGTGTTTTAGGATATAAAATCAATTAATAATTAGTAAATTAAAAGTAACGTAATAATTATTAGAATAAGTTTTTACTCAATTTGAGTAGGTTCATTCTTAAATTAATTTTATTCTTTTATTACAACATGATTAATCAATGTGAACTGATGATAAGTATGTTTCATTAAATGAGTTTTGATTTTGTTCTTTATTTTCATTATACCATGGACAAATCCAACTAAGAAATGATACTCCCATGATTGATTGCCAATTTTTTAATGTTCCATTGTCATAATTTGGAAAATGAGGTGCTTTATGGTGGGAAAGACATTCATACCGGACAAGTTCAATGTCTTCCATTGATGACATATTTTTCGAGAGTAAGTATGAATAATGGTATGCCAGAGATGCAACAGCACAACTCATTGAGAACATAATCATTGCACTTATTAATGAAAAAATAATAATAAATACATTTCCTGGTGATGGTTCACTGAGTCCAGTTTGCATTTGTTTGACAAGATACCATATTTGAATAACCATTCCAGTAAGTCCATTAATAGGGAGATAGTAAAGAAATTGAATAAAATACCGATGATTGTTTTGACCTACACACTGCCCAATCCATGGACAATGATGATCTCTCCTTAATACACAACACCCACATTTCTTGCAATGATAAGAACGTTCAGATCTAAATGATTTACAGTATGTACAATACCTTGCAGGATATCCAATATCAACTATTTTAAATCCATGTTCTTTTCCAAATGTCTCCCTTTCAATTGCTTGTTGTTTTTCTTCTTCAGAACAGTTTGGTTGGAAATTAATACATTTACCTGGTTTTGTCCTAACTGCTTTGTAATATGAAATTGACATAAGAATAAAGAGTATTAATGGAATTGGCATTATCCATATAATTGGTAAATGAACAAATGCATAAAATGAAGAAATAAACATTACACATATTATTCCAGATGCAATATATACTGTAACCAAATCATTACCCTTAAATTCATCTGAAGAGTTGTTATGATTTTTTCTATATAAATAGGGTCCTTTTAAGAGGTTTTCTCTCATCTCATTTCTGTCTTGTTGGATATTACGTTCTTTTGCTTTTAATTCATCCACAGGAATGAAGATACTAGATTGAGACATGATATGGTTAAATAGATTTTTTTAATATTTTTTATTCACTTTTTAGTCAAATTTTCACAGAAAAGTAAGAGGTTAAAGAATAAACATTTCAATTGTTGTTGTTTTGTAAGGAAATAATTTATTGTTACCACCCTCTTCATTGTTTAATTAAAAAATGAGATATAAAGTATTTCTTCTGAAAATGTCATCAACAATTATGTTTATATATCATAAGATCTTAAAATCAAATCATCTCAGTTTGTCATTCTCAAAGATGTCAGTATGGACTGATAATATGTTTATGATCTTTGCTGGTATACTTATTAGAAATTCACCTCAACAACCACCACTCTTTCTTCAAATAGAAGAGGATTTTTCACAAATGGGATTTTTCGAAAGAATGAATGCTGAAGGACCATTAAAATTTTCTGCTCGTCAAATTGCTCAACGAGCTATCACAAATAAAAGAATGTGTATTACTCTTCAAGAACCATCTACATTTAAAGGACATGTTTATATGGAAAATGATGGAGTTTGTTATAATTTTTGTTTGATAATAGATAGTCATACTAATGGATTATATAAAAGAGAAAAAAAAATTAACGACCAATAGCTTGCTGTTGTGGCAATAACTACAAAATCATATCCTGATCGTGTTGCTACAGTTGTATTGAGTAAAATGATGCAAGCATTTAGACAATTATACAAAGGACCATCCTTCAACACTATTAAATCAGACTTACAATTTAAATACCAACCTGTGTCTGGATTATTTCAACAATATATTGACCCAAAAAAAGGAGATAAATTAACACAAATTCAAACTGACTTAACAGAAACACAGGAAATTTTAGTTAAGGCAATGGATGAATTATTAGAACGTGGTGAAAAATTAGATGATCTTATTGATCAAAGTAATGATCTTTCAACAACTTCAAAAGCATTTATGCGACAAGCTGAATCAATGAACAGTTGTTGTTAAAACAAAAGAAGAATTATAATTTAAAATTTTTATTATAACACACAACTAATCAGAATTATGGCTTTTTTTTTAGAGTCTTGTTTATTTTTCACTTAAATCTATTTCTTCCATTGTATTAGAAGTTTCTTTTTTCTCTTCACTATCATCATCACTTGACATTAACCATGGAGGAATATCTTCTTTTATTGGTTCAATGACATTAACAACATTTGTATCTAAATTCAATTTCTTCATTTCAAATTCAAATACTTTCCATAAGTAATAATGAAATTCAAGTGTTTCTTCTTGATTTAAAAATTTGAAATGTGGATCTGAAGAACATTTTTTAATAACTAATTCTTCAAATTCTTGTCCATACTTATCTAAATAAGGAATTAATTCATCAATAATTTTCTTTATTTTTTCATCAATCATTTTCTCTTCTTCAATTGATAATGGTTTAATTGGTTCATTTTCTTTAGTAATAAAATGACTAGGCATATCAGGGAACCAAGTTTTGCTTTGGAAATTAAGATCTTTTTCATATCTTATTTTTACTTTATCTTCATCAAATAATACATGTATCATTTCATTAATTGCTCTTTTTGCATCTTCAATATTTTTAAATTCAATTAATGCACATCTATTATTTATCCCAATTCTAATTCTATCAACTGGTCCATATTGAGTTAATTTAGAGAATATTTTCATTTCATTATTATTTAATCCTCCAACCCATAATACTCTATTAACTTCATATTCTTTTGTACGATGTCCTTTTTTATTATTTTCTTTTGGTTGATTAATTTGATTTACTTCTTTTTCTTCATCTTTTAATATTTGATTAAGGTGTTGATAAATTATTTCATTTTCTTGTGCGTTTGTTTCTGTTTGGTAATCTGTTTTGTTTTGATTGGTTTGTGTAAATGTAGTACCTGTTTCTGCTTTTCCATATCCTATTTTCAGTGTTGTGCCTCCATATGTTGTTCCATTTAACTCTTCTTTTGCCTCTTTAGCACTTTCTTCCTTACTGAAGTGAATAAACATAAAATTTTTACCTTTTGGTTGATTAATACTTTCAATACTTCCATATGCTTCAAACAATCCTCTTAATTCCTCTGCCATTCCAGGAAGTAAATTCCCAACATACAATGTCTTTTTATCTTCATGAGGATTAGCTACTTGTTGCATAGATTTATCTGGAGCAGGTGGTGGAGGAGGTGGTGGTTGAGAGAGTTGGAATGGTTGAAGATATCCCATTTGATAATAGGATAAATAATTGGGGTCAGAAAAAGGAAAAAATGGGTAGTTTGGATATTCCATCTTCAAATAGAACTCAAAAAGATCATTTCTTATAACATGAAATTAGTAAGATTTTTGATGAGGCTAACAAACGAAGTCGTTACTATTGAATTAAAGAGTGGGATGATACTCACTGGAACAATTGTTGGTGTTGATAACTACATGAACGTCCATCTAAAAGTTGTAAAAATGACACAAAAAGGAAAAAATCCAATTGACCTAGACCAATCAACAGTAAGAGGAAACACAATCAGAAATATAATACTTCCAGAATCATTAAATCTTGACACTTATCTTGTAGATGATACCCCAAGACTAAAAGTTAAAGCAGCAGTAAAAAGTTTGTTCTTCTCTTCTTTTACTTCTTATTGTAATACATAACAATTTTAGCTGCATTGAAGAAAAAAACAGAATTAAAACCAAAAAAATGATTGAATTTTTGTTATTTCTATTTTTGTTCTTAAAGACTTATGATAAAATAACTTCATTATGACTTATTTGATTTAACCATTTTGTCTATTCAAACAATTTCTTTTTTACTTTTATAAGACTTTGTTGTATTTTAAATGACACGTCAATGGATTTATATATTACCATGAGCACACTGGACTAATAATCTTATCCAATAGAAATGAATATACAAACAAATCACAACTGAAATACTCACATAATAATAAATAAGTTGGTGCTAAGGTACTATTTTTGATATGATATAATTCTTTTTGTTAATAACTTAATGGTATTGGTATTATAAAGTAATTAATCTTATTATCTCAGAAGTTTTAATCAATTAAGTAATTCATATGATTCATTTTTATTAAAAAAAGTAAAAAAAAAAGAAAAGTCAAACTTCAAAAGTTCTGGTATTTCATATTTCATCAATGAGATCACATAGATTCCATCTTGAACCCAAACACTTTATCTATTCACAGTTTGTTTTTTATCTCTATCACACAACAATAAGTGACCATTAGTTTTCAGTTTTTTGTTTTTCCTGACACTGACCTAAGTAAGTCAAATGTACAAAATGGGTTGTTATATTCTGATGATGCAGTACAATTAAGGTATTATACAAGTGAATTTCCGAAATGGTTTGTTTAATAATTTATTTTGTTTAATACGCAAGAGACATAACTTATCAACACAGTCCAATCTGTTTAGAAGATGTTGTGATGCCACGTTTAACTTCATGTGGTCATATGTATTGCTGGAGATGTTTATTGCAATATCTTGTGCTATGCCCAGCACCACATAAATGTCCAGTTTGTAATGCCCTAATTTATTCACCATTTACAATTTGTGATATTGTCATTCAGCCATCCATTCAACTTGGAGATGAAATAACAATGCAATTACTTAAAATTCCTAATGGATTTACTATCCCTTCTCTTGTTCCTGGAGAGACTATAACGTCAGTACCTACATCAAAATGTAATAATTCACGGTTTTATCATGTGGTAATAGAGGATGATCCACTATCAGTATTAGCTAAAGAAAGTGTAAAAGTAATTTTAGAAATGAAGAAACCACAAGACGATGAATATGGACTTTACTATAATATGATGAAAGAAGAGCTTAGTGAATTAAAAAAAGAATGGAATGATAGACTGATACGAAAACGATATCCAATTAATCCAAAAGATTGGAATTATTATTACCAAGACTCTCTTGGAAGAGATATCTATTTAACTTCATTTAATCTTTCCATGTTAATGGAAAACCCAACGAAATTATCAATATTTACATCAAAAATTCTTCAAATAGATGAAGAAGATGTAGGACTTGGAGAACGAAAGTTAATTAAGTCTTATCAACACATTCCTAGAGGAACAGAAATAAAAATTATAGAAGTTGATATGAACGGATTAGTAAATAATAATGTCATGAGTAAATATATTCAAACCATTAATAAAAGAAGTAATGCCCGTCAACGAAAAATTAAAATGGAAAAGTTACAAAAAGAAGAAGAAAGAAGAAAAGAAGAACAACGAATTGCTGAATTAAAAAGGATGAATGAACATTACATTTATTTAGAAGAAGATTATGAATTACATAAAGAAGAAATAGAAATGAAATATTTCCCATCATTAGGAAATAATGACAAAATTATTACTAAGAAACAAAGAAAAAAAGAGTCTTTATTCCCTTCTCTTGGATCATCATCTTCTTCTTTAATAAATAAAAGTAACACAAATCCTCCTCTTCAACAATCTCAAAAACAAAGTGTTCAAAAAGAAATAAAACAACAAACGAACACTCCTTTAAATACTTCTTGCCAAAAGAAATCACAAAAAACAAGTAAAAAAACAAAAAAATCAAGAAAAAATAAAAAAATTTTAGGAAATGAATTTCTTGGAGTGTTTAGTGAAGAAATACCAACAATTGAAAATATGGAAGATTAAACAAAGAAAAAATAATTGAATGAACTAAATAAGAATACTCAAAGTTAAAAAAATAATTCAATTTGCAATCATTAATGAAATAGATGGATCAATTATTAAATTTTCTGTAGAAACAAAAAATTGAGGAATTTCACCAAGCTTTTTCCATTGACCAACCTCAGATTCATTTGTTTGAATTTTTTCCTTAACGAATTGTTCAATTTCTTCACATTCCATTTCTTTAAATTTAAGGTTTTCATGAATAATAAAACCACCAATAATCTTTTTCATTTCACCATTAATAATTGCATGAATTCTTTTTAATAACATTTGAGTTTTATTTTCAAATAATACTCCTTCAATTTTAAACACATTTAATACTTCACTTACTTCACTTGATAATATAGAAATACAATAAATAATCCATTCTTCAATATGTTCTGTGTTTTGATTAATTTCTTTACAATATTCTTTTGCTGCCCCAACAACTAAAACATCGCTAAATCCTCTTCTTGAACATATTTGTGTAACCATCATTTTCCACCACTTACTTTCATCTCCTTGTAATTTCCCAATTCTAACAATTAAATTAGATAATTCATACAATGAACTACTTGTCATATTCCTTGATCCTTCTTTTATACTTTTCATAATTCTTTGGTTGTCTCTTCTTTCAACAGCTTCTATAAATGAATTAAACCATACACATGCACTTTCTTGGCTTCCTTGTTCCCAATAATTAATTGCTAAATATTCTGATATGATTTTAATACACTCTATTAATTCTTCTGATGATGGAACAGTACCATGTGTTATGGCATGTCTTACTTCAACTAATACAGTAGGCACTCCTAATTCAACCGCCATTTGATATACACTTCGGTGTTGTCCTCCAGCTTTTTGTGGTGCATCAACCATTCCATTAACAAATCGAACAATAGTGAATCCAGCAACTGATGAAAAAAATTGTGGACTTTCTACTTTTGCACAAATAGAGTTTAATACACCGATAGTTGCCTCAATTTGAACAGGAAGTATTTGACGAGTTTGCCATATAAGAAGAAGACTTAACGCCTCTTTTACCCTTTCTTCATTAGGTTCTCTTAACGCTTCAAGGACGGAGATTTGAGCATTCTTCCACTCATCCCAATTCATCCAGGCACTTGTCATTTGAGGGTTATAAATTTGTGTTATTTCTAGTTATCTTGTTTTTATGATTTTTTGTTTTTATTAATGTTTTATATAACCAAAATATAAAAATAATATAATGTTATATATAATGGTAATTAAAACTATAAAACAAAAAAAGATAAAAAGAGAAAAATATCTCATAAATCATAAAATGAGTTTTGCTATAGAAAAGAATTCAGTTTGTGGATTAATGAAAAAAGAGAAGAGAAAACAATACTAAAGAAATAGTTTAATGAATGGAATAACCATTTTTCAACAGAGGTCGAAATAAATAAACCAGATATTAGAAAATTAATTTTTGAAAATAATAAACATTGTGATATTAATTTATATAATATCATTGACATTAAAAACCTTAATAGATATGATAAAACACAACAAGAAGATATTAAAAAAATTATTACTTCTTCTTCCTTTAATTCTGTTGCTTCATTAATTGAAACATATGCAGTAAAATCAAACCCAGAAAATCTTGTGACTTGGAGTCAAGACCCTGTAAATGAAATAAATGGCAATTTGACAACAGTGACTATAACTTTAACTTTTATTATTCCATTTAAAAAATTTGATTTGTTACTTTGTTTTGTTTCACAAAGTGAAAATACTTTAGTTGTTGTTCCTTTAAAAGGGCTAACATCTTTTGATCTTCAAGCTAAACCAGATGATATCGAAGAATGTAATGATGGTAATGAACACTTTATTCTTGAAAAAAAATTTACTGTAAGTAGATTAAAACTATTAAAAACACTTGACCAAGATGTGGTAGAATGTCAAATCATAGGGAATGGACCAAATGGTTTGTTTTTTTATATTCTTTAAGTCACTTAAATGAAAAAATTTTTAATAATTAGAAAAGAAGTTATTTGAAAAACAAGTAAAAATACATCAGTCATTACGTTGTGCACAAATATCTTCTTTTATGTATGCTATTCCAGAAAGCAATTCATTAATATTTGAGCGTCCTCGATATTGGACATTAACTAATTACCTTACAACAAATGAAGAAATAAATAGAACTTTAATGTATAAGTTTTGTCTTGATGTGTCTAAAGCAATGGATTATTTACAAGAGTCACAAATAGTTCATCGTGACCTTTCTACTGACAACGTTTTCGTATTTTCTGTTATCCCAACTGACTATGTCAACTGTAAATTAGGAAATATTTGTTGTTGTGAGAGAGTAAGTGAATATGGTATTGACGCTACAGTAACTAAACCAATTTATTCAAACCAAGGAGAAAATTTTAGAATGCCTCCAGAAATTACATCTAAAGATGCTTCTTATACTTCTCAATGCGACGTTTATTCCTTTGGAATTCTTGTTTTTCATGTTTTAACTCAATTAGTTAACACTAATCCAATTGGAGAAAGTGGTTGTGTTCTTCCTCAATTTATTCGTCAAATACCTTCTGCATTAGTAAACATTATTAACAATTGTTGTTCAATAAATGTTAATGAACGTCCTTCTTTTTCTGAAATTGTTGAACGTTTAAATATCATTTTACAGAACGCAACAACTGAAAAAACAAATCAACGAAAAAAACAAAAAATAGTTAAATTCCCTTTTGTGTGAATTTATCATTTATTTTAGTTATATAAAACAAAATAATTTATTGAAGTTTTAACAAACAAAAAGAATAATTTATAATAAATTTATTATAAAAAGAACTAATAAAAAAATGAATAAAGAAAATAAATGGAAGAAGAATTTGAGAAGAAACCAAAAGCACTTGATGAAGAAGAAATCGCTATTTTAAAGGCATATAACCGTGGTCCATATGCAAATTCAATTAAACAATTAGAAAAAGAAGTTGGTGACCTTGCAACAGAAATACATAATTTAGTCGGAATTCAAGAAAGTGATACAGGACTAGCACCAGTGTCTCAATGGGACTTAAATGCTGATAAAAAGTTGATGGAAGAACAACCATTACTTGTGTGTAGATGTATTAAAGCTATGCCAGATGAACGTGAACCACGATATGTTATTTCAATAAAAGAATTTGCAAGGTTTGTTGTTGGTAAATCAAATAGAGTTGAAAAAAATGCTGTTCAAGATGGAACAAGGGTAGGAGTAGATAGAGCACGTTATGAAATTAAAATGGCACTCCCACCAAAAATTGATCCATCAGTTTCTGTTATGCAAGTTGAAGAAAAACCAGATGTAACATACAAAGATATTGGAGGATGTAAAGAACAAATTGAAAGAATTAAAGAAGTTGTTGAACTTCCTATGTTACATCCAGAAGCATTTGAGAATTTAGGAATTGACCCACCTAAAGGAGTGTTATTATATGGACCACCAGGAACGGGTAAAACATTGTTAGCACGTGCCGTGGCTAATAGAACAGAATCAACATTTGTTCGAGTAATTGGATCAGAGTTAGTTCAAAAATATGTTGGAGAAGGTGCTAAAATGGTAAGAGATTTATTTGACATGGCTAAAAGTAAAAAGAGTTGTATTATTTTCTTTGATGAGATTGATGCTATTGGAGGAACTAGATTCCAAGATGATACAGGTGAAAGTGAAGTACAACGTACTATGTTAGAACTTATTAATCAATTAGATGGATTTGATAAACGTGGAAATATTAAAGTCCTTATGGCAACAAATAGACCAGACACACTTGATCCAGCATTGGTTAGACCAGGACGACTTGATAGAAAGATTGAATTTGGTCTTCCAGATATTGAAGGAAGAACAGAAATATTCAAAATTCATACAAAGCCAATGAGTGTTGCAAAGGATATTCGTTATGATCTTTTAGCTAGATTATGTCCAAATGCTACTGGAGCAGAAATTCAATCAGTTTGTACTGAGGCAGGAATGTTTGCAATTAGAGCAAGAAGAAAAGTTGTTACTGAAAGAGATTTCTTAGACGCAATAGAAAAAGTTATTAAAGGTTATCAAAAGTTCTCTGCAACTCCAAAATATCTTGCTTACAATTAAAAGATAATTATTGTTTTCTTTTTCTTTTGTTTTTTTGTATTTTAAACCTATTTTTTTTTAACAATCTAATCAATTAATTTATTTCTTTAATGTTTTTTATTCTTTTTATTCTGTTTCTTTCCTTGTTTTTGGTTTGGTTGTTGTTGTGGTTTCTTTTCTTCTTTCTTTTGTGGTTGTTGGTGTTGTTGGACTTTACTTTCTTTCTTTCTTTGTTGTTTTTTCTCCTCCTTCTTTGGTGCTTGTGGTTTCTTTTCTTCTTTCTTTGGAATAACTACTTTCATTGGTTTAGTGTCTTCTTCTTCTTCCTCATCACTTTCTTCTCTCTCTTCCAACTTTTCATCACCACTTTCACTATTTTCTCCTTCACTCATGTCTTCTTCCATTTCTTCATCTTCCTCAAATTCGTTGTCTTCAACTTCATCGAAATTACCAACGACATGAAGAGTTCCATTACCTTTGACAACAAATGTAACTTCATCAAGATATAATGGAATATCAACTGAGTGTTGTGGAATAGCAGATGACAAAGTGCAAACAAGAACTTCATCCTCATCATGTTTCAAATATAATTGTGTTTTAGAATCACCTTCAAGGGTAATATGTCTAAGATTAAAATATGCCCCTTCTGGTGCAATGCATTTATGTGGAGCAGAAGCAGAAACAGTAAAAGCTTCAAGAGACATTATCTAATTTGATTTGTTTTCTTTTGAGTTCTCTCTTTTAAGGGTTGAATTTTAGTTCATTTTAATATCTTTTATTATACTTTATAGAATTTGTTTTTATTTTTTCTCTTTCTCATTAACAAAATTTTATTCTATTTTTATTATTTTAATGTGATTAATAACAAAAATAAATAATTAACAAATGTTTATATCAATTCCTCAATTATAATTTAAAATAATAAAAAGTAATTAATTAAATGTTAATAGAATCTATGTCTATTGTTCCTGGCTCTGGGGGAGACTAGTCCTAACGTTGACCAATTCTCTAGTGGTTCTTATCAGTACATTTTATTGTGATAGAAGTAATATTCAATGATATCCATTTATTCTTAATTACAAGGTTTTCTGTTTCTTTTATGATGTCAATTTCGATTTTTAATTCTTTAATTAATTTAATACCTTCAGTATTTACTATTCCATTTATCTGGATTACTACTGGAATTATTTTGACATCTTTTAATTTCTCTATTTTCATTACCATATTTTTTAATTCCTTATACATATTTCTTTTCTTCCAATAGGTTCTATTAATATGGTGGTCTACCACAACATTATATCAAATAATTACCAGTTTTATTCTTTTTATTTATTACATATATATATCTAGTATTTTATGATATTACCAATCACTTTTGGCATTATTTGTTTGTTCAATATCATAGTAATGTCATTGTATTGGAACATTGTTTCATATGCTAATTTCTTGTATTGATTGTTTCATTTATATTTTTATATTATCTAATATGATAATGCCATTTCATTTTTAAAAAAAGTTAATAAATGTTATTGTATTTATGATTATTCAGTTTTTTAAAAATAATAAATAAAGGTATTAATAAAAAATGACCAATAAAAAAAAAGATAATTTTTAATAATAAAAACATTTATTAAATTATTTATAAATAAAATTAATTTATTCAATTAATGTTAAGTGAGTATAATAATAAGGAAAAATATCAATTCAATAAATACAATAAGCAGAGTGTCAATAAATAATGATAATCAGGATAAAGATAATAATAACCATTTAACATTTCTTATGACACTCTATCAAAAGAAAGTGTGTTATTCAAAAATTAAGTAAAGAATATTTAGAGTATTTAAATTAATTTAATACAACAAAATAAACATAAACAGAGTTAACTTTATATCACATTCACTAAATGTTATAAAATAAAATGAAACTGTATTATTAGTGATATTTGTATAATTCTTAATGTAAATTATAAGAAAAATTGTTCCATTTTATTCAATGAACAAGATAGCATGAAGGAGTGATTATGTTTGACAGTTGATGAATAAACTGATAATAAATTATCATTATCATTTTAATGAATCAAAACAGTGTTGTTATTAGATTATAATGTTAGTTGTTTAGAGATGATAAATAGTAAAAATAAAAGTAAGCATCAATAATCAATTAGACTATGATGAGTTAATAACATGGACTGTTATAACCATTGTCTTTTGTATGACATGTTGTTCCCTTAGGACATTTCATTTCATAACCAACACTGTTCACACACCAATAGTATTCAGTATTCTTTGATTCTTCTTCATAACAATAATATCCTTCTTTCACTTCAGTGCAATTGACTGGATATTTATTTGGTGTAGGAGTAGGTAATGGATCAACTTCCCAGTGAGACTCATTAGGTGCAACACAAATCTTGTTTTTATTGATTTCAAACTCACCTTTACCAATGCATACATCTTCATTTGGGCATTTGCTAACACACGACTTTTTACCTTTGTTACAGGTATAATATTCCCTCTTCTTGTCTTTATCTGTATAACAGAAATACCCATGTCTTCCTTTACAATCACCATCCACAAATTCAAGTGATGAAACTAAATAAATGCATAATATAAGAAGTAATGCTTTCATTGTTTTGTTGATGTTATTTAGTAGATTGATTATGTTTATATAATATGATTATCACTTTCTTAATCTCCTTTTTTGGTTTCACTGTGTTGATTTAATTAGTATTGTCATTCAGAAAGTATTATTATTGATTAGTTAGTTATTATTGGTATGACGTATATGTGAAAGTCTTAACACTCTTCATTATTATATAAAGTAAACTACATTGTTAAAAAAATTACTAAATTTACAATAAGAATTGAATTAAATATGTTTCAAACAGCATTAATCAATGGAGAAACAATAAATTGTTCAAGTTTCTTTAAGTTTTTAGACTGATCAATCAGAGATTTGTAAAAGTGAGAACCGATATTCTCCATAGCATTTTTATCATACAAGAAGTTGTTTATAGTGGCTGCTTGAATTTTTGGGAAAGCAGGAAGATGAATATTTCCACATTGGGTTTCTATTTCACAAGTCTTTTTTGAAGTTCCAAAAATGAAAGAAGTATTTGGAACTGGTCAATAGTTTGAGTCATGAAAATGACTTGATTGTATTTTGGTTTTATTTTGGTACAAGAAAAATCTTGAGACGTTTTCATTTTTAAAAGAAAAGAAATGATTTAAGTCATTATTGAGAAAAATAAAGAAGTCGATAAATTCCCAGAATTTTATACTCTAGTAATAATTCAATAAGAAAAAAATAAAACAAAACTAAATGTTTTCAACTTGAAAAAGAGAAAAATAAAACAAACAAAAGATGACAACAATACATCTACAACAAACATCGACAAATCAAAGTCCACCCTTTCAAGAAAAAAGAAAAGAAGAGATGAATTCTTTAGAAGAATCAAGGGAGGATGATAGTAGTGAATATACAGAAGAAGACAGTTTTGTTTCAAGTCAAACCGAAAGTTATTCAAGTGAATCTTCTCAGTCAATTCAATTAAGTCAAAACTCAGAAAGGTCAACTGACTCTATGGAACAAATGCAAGAAATAGTTGATGCAATGCAAGTACAAATTCGACAATATAAACAATTATTAGAAACAACACAAAGTCATATGGAAAAACAAATTAGTACACTTCAAATGGAAAATAAAGAGTTAAAAAATAGGATAAAAGAAAAAGATGAGAAATTAATTAAAGCAGCAGATGCAATCAAAACTATGGTCAATGATATGAAAGATTTAGGAGAAGAAAAAAGAAAAATTGCAGAAGAAAGTGTTAAAGATAAAGAAGATTTAGCTGCTTTATATAAACGATTAGGACAATTAGAAAATAGCAATGGTAAAATAAATCTCAATGAACTTGAAGTATCAATGATATTTAAATTAGAAAAAAATCAAATTGTTTCAGCAGAAATTATTAAAATGAATGTTGACCAACAAAAACAAGACCTAAAACTTCAAATTGAAGTCCTTGAAAAGAATTTAATGACAAGCAAAAGTGAATTGTATTCATTAAAATCAATAAATGAAGATCTTAATAAACAAATTAAATCAACAGAAAATATTAAAAAAGAGGTCATTGAATTACGTAAAGAAAAATTAACTTTACAAGGAAAAATTGATGAATTAAATACCATTATTTCTAACCTAAAACATTTAAAAAAGAATAGGATTAGTATTAAAGGAGAATCTAATGAATCAAATTCTTTTAAAGAAGATGCTATTGATATTATTAGTAGAATAACTACTTTTAAACCACAAGGAATGTTTGACCAAACAACTTATGAAGAATTTGCTTTATTACAAGAACAAAATGCACTTAATCCATTTATGTTTACTCATGTACAAGCACAGTGTACTGCTAAATTAAAAAATACATTTAATTCATTTATTAAAACATCACAAATACCTTCAATTCAAGCAATTAAGGATTATAGTGAAATATATAATAATGTCTCAAATAAATGTTTCTTTGCTACATACCTTAAACGTGAAGCTCCTCACTTAAAAGTTTATCATGATGTACTTATTGAAATAACTCAATTTAATGCAAAATATTGTAAAGTTAAACCAACAACAACATTAAAGAAAAGTATTAATAATTTAATTTTTAGTTCAAGTTCTAATACATCAGCTGCAACAAATGTAATGAATAATCAATGGCTAAGAAAAAGAAGAGCAACAGCAGTAAGTGTAATACCTAAATATCAAGACTATTCTTTATTAGCAAAACAATTATCTCAAACAACAATTAAAGAAGATATAAAAGAAAGAGTTAATATAAAAGAAGAAAATAGGTTATATAAATTGCTTTGTTGGACAGGAAAAGATATTTGGGCATGTATTAAACCAACTAATAATAAAAGTATTATTCATGTATTCAATAATATTAATGAAAACCCAATACAAATCCTTGAAATAGAAGGAAATATTTGTGCTATTATTTATTATAATGGAAAAGTATATATTGGTAAAACAAATAGTGTTATTGAATGTTATAATAGTAATGACTATACTAAGAAAAATGAATACCATTTAGAAAGTGAAGGTGCTATAACTCATTTAGAAAGTGTAGGAAGAAAAGTAATTGGATTAACAGAAGATAAGAATTATATTGAGATAGATATTAAACATGATAAAAAGAATGAAAAAAAATTATCGTTACAAAGTGATATTAGAACAGCAGCGTTAGTTGATAATTCATTATGGATTGGTACATTTGCAGGGTTACATATATGTGATCCAGATAAGAAAAGAAAAACAAGTATAGTAAAAGAAATTGCAAAGAATGAAATTATGCAAGTAATAAGAGCATATGACTCAGTATGGGTTGTTATGAAAGACAATATTTATATTATTGATATTCTATCACAAAATGTTAAAAAAGTTATTTCTGCTCCAATAGAAAAAATAAAACTTATTGGAAAACAAGTCTGGATATTACAAAAAACTGGAGATATTAAAGTTTATGATAGTGAAAAACTTGAACTTGTTACTGAACACCATATCACTACAAAACCTTTAATTGATATAATTCCCGTTTTTAAAACTTTAAATAAATCATCAACTTCTAAGAAAAATGAATGGGTTTGTATTATTTGTGATGAAGACGGTAAATTTAGTAGTATAGGAACTAACTATCCTTATCATAATTGGACTGCAATTCCTTCAACAGAATTAAATACCCATACTTGTTATAAATGTAATAAAAAATTTAATAAAGGTGGTATTTATTGTAAAAACTGTGGAAGAGTTTTTGTATGTGACAAATGTAGAGAAAATGTTGATTTTATATCCTCATTAACTTCTACAGAACTTTGTATTCATTACCCAACGAAAAAACCTTCAACTAAATCTTCATTAAAAAAGAAACTATAATTTAAATCTTCTGTGTTCTTTTTTCTATTTTCCTTCAAATTAATTATCAAATAAAATACTTAACAAACAACTCCACTTAAGTATATTTGTTTTTTTTTCTTTTTATTATTGTTAATTAATTTAAAAACTATTTAAGAAACTATTTTATTAAAATCATAATTTTATTATCTATCTTAATTATCATTCCTATCATTTATATCATTAATTCTAAATAATTTTGTCTAATAAATTATTTAATTATTTATTTTATTTTTCTTAAAACTACACTCAATTTGTTTAATTTGATTAATACCCCCATAATTTAAAATATTATTTTTATATTTTAATTAGAATCATCAACTATTTTTGTAAATTATCATGATTTTTTTTTAAATTATCAAATAACACTTCTATTGGTTCGTTATTTTTAAAACTGATTTTGATATATCAATATTTGAAGAATTTTTATTGTTTAATAGAATTAACAATAAACAGCAAGAAAAAATATTAGACACTGTTTGAATATTTTATTGTAATTTAAAAATACATTTCTCATTTTATTTACTCATATTCTGATATTAAATGATAATATATTAAAATCATTTATTTTTATTTTATTTTTCTTTTATGAATATGTTAAAAAATTATTTATTTCTTTTTATCGTTAAAAATATTTTGATTGACTTTCAAATATTTAAATTCAATTACGTTTGTATAAGAAATATCATAAAATGACTATGTGGAGAGAGAGTTCTATCATACTGATTGATCTTTAGACATTAGTTAAAATAATACTAAGTTGAGAGTTTAAATAAATATTGAATTTAATAGTAACTTTAAATATACAAGAAGATAGGCAAATTAAAAAATAATATTCAAAACATTAAATTCATTAAATATTTATCTAAATATAAAACAGTCACAATCTGATGTGTGGCAAGATTTAAAATTAAAAGGAAATAACAATGCTCTTGATATACACAAACATTGTAAATACCAAACCAAAAGAGAATACAACAGATAGAACAATGAAAAACACAAACTCAGTTATCATGTTCATGAATATTTCTGATAGTTAAATGGACAATAAATAAAAGAATAATAGAAATATTTGTTCTTATTATTATTTACTAACGAAAGAGTATTTACTGTTCTAAGAAATATCTTTATCAATAGTAAAAATAAAGTACCACAAAAGATAACAGAAAATAAACTGATAAAATAACTATTGATTAATAGTGAACAAAACAATCAATTCAATCTTTTTTTTTTCATTAGGATTAGTTTTGAGAATTAAAAAACTTTAATAAAACTTGACCGTATTTATTGTTTACTCGAAAAATTTGTAAATAAACCAGAAGTCTATGAAGACTAATAACAGTCGAATATGTTGAGTTATTTGTTATTTAGTTATAATTATTTTTTATTAAATAAATCGTTTACATGATTGAGTTGTTTGAAATAACATATTGTAAAAATATTCAGAAAATACCCTTTTGTTATAAACCAACCAATCAGTGGTTGGTTTTAAATAATCTTCAAATTTTTTTGATATTTCAAGAGAAATTTATTTATTATTTCAAATCTTCATGAATAAGTTATTTTTTTAACAATTGAACGTTAACTTTTTCAAAAACAATCACCAAAAAATCAAAAAACAATATCAATAATAAATATTCAATCAATAACTAACTTTTCTATTTTTAAATACGAAGCAATCTTTAACAAGACTGTTAGTTTCCTTTAAAGAATAAGGAAACTATTTTTGTTTTAGATTATTATTAAAGCCTATGTTTAAACATTGTATTTTCGCAACGTGAAGGTTCATTTGTGTATATCCGTTGGTTTGGATTAATTATAATAAGCCCATCAAAAGGAAGATGATATAAAATTGACTTAACTTCATTATCTGAAAAAACGTCTTCATCTGAGAATAGTGTCTCTTCTTCATTATCTAATGAATAATAAGGATAAGAGTTAAATTGTTGTTCTTGCATTAGATTTGAAGAATGATTATTTTCAGTTACACCATCAAAAAAAGTAGTACTTCTTAAGAATTTTTTTTAGATATCTAAAAATAGAGTAGTAGGTAAACAAAAATATAATTATGAAGAATGGCTCAAATATTTAATTTTCAAAAAAATTTTAAAGAAAAAAGAGAAACTTTATTATTTTTATTTTTATATTTAAGAACTTTAAAAGAATTAAAAAAAAAATAAAATAAAAGAAGTTAGTCTATTTTTGAAGTATATCTTAAAATTATTTGACATTTAAATAATGAGATATTTCAATTGCGAATGCCCATTTTGAAAAGAAAGATTAAAGATAATAATAGAGTGCCCTATACAATAAAAGTAGTGTTGGACAATAAGTTAGTAAAGTAAGAGTTTAGTTAAAGAAAAAAAAGGATTATGAACCAATGAAGATAAAAAAAGAGAAAAACCAATACAAATGATAATTAAAAACAAATTATTATAAACCCTTGTTACCAAATTTTGCTGACTAAGCACTTCGTTTAAGTCTATTAAACAAAATTATCAAAGAAAGAAGGGAATTAAAAGAATTTTGGTTGTTTATTAAAGAACTAATTAAATTCAATTAATATACATGCAAGACATAAAATCAGTTTATCTTGATAACAATGCTACTACTATGGTTGATCCTGAAGTATTAAATAGTATGCTTCCATATTTTAGTGAAATTTATGGTAATCCAAATTCACTTCATGCATTTGGTCAAAAAGCTAGAAAAGCACTTTCAGATTCATTAGATATTATTTATGAATGTATTGGTGCAAGTGATGATGACACTGTTTTAATTACTGCTAATTCTACAGAAGGAAATAATACAGTATTAAAGACTATGTTAGCACGTTATGAAACAATGAAAGGAAGAAATAAAATTATTGTTTCTCAAATTGAACATCCATCAATTAGTGAATCTGAGAAATATTTAAAAGAAAGAGGTATTGAAGTTATTAAAATGCCAGTAAATGAAGATGGTATTGTTGATCCTAAGGATTTAGAAAGATTAATTGATGATAAAACAGCTTTAGTTAGTTGTATGTGGGTAAATAATGAAACTGGTTTAATTATGCCAGTTGAAGAGTTATGTAAAATTGCACATGCTCATGGTGCATTTTTCCATTCTGATGCAACTCAAGCTATGGGAAAAATTAAAGTTAGTGTTAAAGATGTTCCTGTTGATTATTTAACTTTTACTGCCCATAAATTCCATGGTCCAAAAGGTGTTGGTGCTTTGTTTATTAGAGCAGGTAAACCAATTACACCATTATTACATGGTGGAGAACAAATGGGTGGTTTAAGATCTGGTACAATTGATACACCAAGTGTTGTTGGAATGGCTGTTGCATTAAAGAAAGCAACTCATGACATTAATATTGAAAACACTTATGTTAAAAAATTAAGAGACAAACTAGAAGCTGCTATTAGAACTATTCCTGATGTTACTATTGTTGGTAAACCAGAATTAAGAGTCCCTAATACTATTCTAGTTGCTTTTAAAGGAGTTGAAGGTGAAGCCATGTTATGGGATCTTAACAAACATGGTATTGCTGCTTCTACTGGTAGTGCTTGTGCTTCTGAATCACTTCAAGCTAATCCAACATTTAAAGCAATGAAATTTGGAGAAGATTTATCTCATACTGGTATTCGTTTATCCTTATCTCGTTTTAATACTGAAGAAGAAATTGATTATACTATTGACGTTATTAAAAAATCTGTTGACCGTCTTAGACAATTATCATCAACATACGCTTAAATTGCATCTGTTAAAGGATTGACTTTTCTTATTATCAACTAATTTAACATTTTTTATCATTTAATTATTTGTTTTTTTATTTTTAAATTAATTTGTTATAATTTTTTTATCTCATAAATATTCTTTTCTTTAAAATTAAATTATATTACTCAATTACACTTAATTAAAATGATTAAAATTCATTTGCTCTAAATAATGGTTTTCATTGTACCGATTTTGATTCATCATATTAACCCTTAACTGAATTAGTGCATCTTCAATAATATAATTATTATTATGGAGTAATTGAAGAGCTTCTGTTTTATCAAATTTCACATAAGGAGGTGTCATGGCTTCAGCCCTAGCCATGTATTCATCAATTTTTTCAGATGGTAATGTGTCACATCGATAAATCAATATTCCAGCAGTTTCTGCAACATCAGAACGAGTTAAGCCATCACATTTGGCTTTATTAACACATCGAGCAAAGGTAGGTCTTGATCCAGCAAAGTACTTTTGTGTAGGAATAACAGCTTGGAATTGTGGACCAACCCTTGTATAATGTTTTGTTGTCATTGTTATTCTTTTCTATTTTTTTCTAGATATTAAATTTTTTCTTTTATTTTTTCATCTTTTCTTCTTACTTAAAAATCCTGAAAAATTATAAAACTTCATTTTTCTCATTTAAATAATCACAACACTAACATTCTTTATTTATAACATGAGATACCCCCTACTTAATTCAATGAAGGTAATTTCTTTGAAATAAAAAATATTAAATTTTATAAGGTTAATGAATTAACGGGTCAATAAACTCGTATAATTTTTGAGCTTCAAGTAATTTTAAATGTTTGTATTTACCAAGGAACGTTACATTTTGCGTGAAAAGAGAACACGCCTTAAGAGATTCTTCATTGACTAATTTATCACCACTAGAGAATATTACTGTGTATTTACTATCGAAAGAATCTCCTTCAAACTCAATTCTATAAGGTGTTTCATATCCAAGTGAATACCCACAATGAGTTTCAACACCAAAAGGAATTGTCCAATTGTATTTTTCATAATATGCTCGAATAGAGTTAGTTAAAATATATTCTGCTTTGTCTTTCATTTCATCAACCAAATTATAAGCATCAACAAGGTCTTTTGCAAAGAATTGTTTACCACTTTTTTTAAATATTATTAAAGGTTCATTACTCCAAAAATCTGGATTTGGAGAAAGAGAAATAATTGATTGAATTGATCTTGCTAAGTCACGAGCTAGTTTTTCATTAATTGGTAATCCAATATTTTCACCAACAAGTAATTCTTTAATAGCAAGACCAGAACCAAGGAATGGTGCACTTAAAGGAATCCATTTATCAATGTAAGTATCACAAAATTCTTTTCCTAGATAATCTAGTAATTTATAAGTAATAAAAGCACCCATAGAATGTGATATAATAACAACTTTTCTTTTTGTGTTTTCGTATCCAGACACAATAAAATCTTTAACAGATTTAAGGTACTGATCAGAAACATCATTTGATCTCCAATCATATCCAGCACCAAAAAGATCAAACAATTCAACATATCCTTGTTTTTTCAAGTGTTGAATTAATCCATGAAATGCGTGTGTTAATCTTTTTACAATTGGAATTGGACAAAGAGTATCTATTGCATAAGTATTTCCAAACTGAGGAACTCTAATAGAAATACCTGGAATATTTTCTAATTTATTTGTTATAGGATTCCATACTCCATGTAAGTACCATAAATAACAGTCATCAGTAAAAGAAATAGTATCTCTCACACTAACCCAACTTCTAAACCAATCTTTATGCCTACTACATTTTTGTGGGAATGGTTGATAATTATCATCAACACCAATTTTTGATTCAAGAATAGTAGACATAAGACCAGGAACAAGGATAACTGGTTTTCTTTCAATAGCAAAAGAAAGAGTAAGTAAAGTTAAAAGAAAGAAAGTCATTTATTAAAGAATTAATCAGATCAAATAAAAGAAAATGATAAATGTTCATTTTTTGTATCTTAAATTAAAATTCTTAAAAAGAAAAAAAAATGAAGAATAAAATAAAAATCTTTGAATTATTTGGAACGAATTTTTTGTTCTTGTAATTGTTTCCATTGTTTTTGAATACCATTGATTAATGAATTAAGTCGTTGATTTGTTTCTTTTAATTTATTACTAGAATACTTTGAACTCATTTTTTTTAAGAATTGTATTCTATTTTGAACCATATCTTTTTGAATAACTCTTCCTTTATCTAAAATAGATTGTAATATACTTCTCTTTCTATCAAAGATTTGTTTTCTTAATGAATTTATTTCTGAAATATATCTCTTTTCTTGTTCTGTTGTTTTCTTTAATAATTTAAATAATTTGTTATAATTTGTTGATGCACTTTCTATTCCAATCTATTAATTATGTTATTGTTTTGACTATTATTTTGTAAAAATATAACAAACTCTTCCTAATCGGATTGATACCATAATAGCATCGATTCCTTCTAATACCTTTTGTGTCTTTAAGTGTGATTCTTTAGATTTAGATTGTACTTTTTCGTATTTTTCTTGAAGTAAAATAAGTTGTTCATCAGTTTTAATATCTTCAATTTCTTCCATCATACCATCTGCAATTTTTGTTATTACTGGTGCATATTTTGGCATTCCTTCATAAACAGGAATTGATGGGATATCTGCAATAGAAATAAACTATTTTTTTAATAAATTTTTCTATTAGTTTACTATAATAAACAAACATCAGGATTCATTCTCATACGATTCTCGATCTTATTTTTAAATAATATTTTATGTTGTAAATGTGGTGGTAGAGCATTGACAGTGTTTTGAAGTACCTTAACCCATTTAGATTTTATTTGTCGAACACGTAATAATTTTTCTTTTAACACTTCGATGATGTGTGCTGTTCTAACAAAGTCAGCTTTACAAATTGAATTACGGATATCACCAAATGCTGAATCAATGTCATCAAGTGTTTCTTTTTCAATATCTTCTATATCAGAAATATGTGTTTCTGCTGATAAGATTGAATCCTCAACGGCTTGAAGATGGTCAGTACATATGTGAATTGGTACTGCCATTACTATCATTAAAATCCCAAAAATTAATGTTATTTTCATTGTAATATTATAATTTTTTTAGTTCGTTGATTTTTGTTTTTTTTTTAAGTTCTTTAATTTTTTTATTTTTCTTACTTCATTCTCCAAGTTTGATTATTAATTCAATAAGTATTCTTTTCATTAAAATAAACAACTTTCTGTTTTACCATTATTCATCATTCATCTGTAGTATTATCAAATAGTATGTTTCAAATGGAGAGGAAATACTTGTAATCAATAGAAAGTAGAATCAAAATTTGGTGTACAATATCTACTATTTATACACAATACTATCTTATTTTAAATATTTTATATTAGTTACTTATCTAAATATATTAAGTAGTTTTATAACTAAAACTTAAAGAAGTGTAGGTTTAAACCAACCAAAAATACCATCTTATTGTCTGTATGTTATTTTTTTTCTATTTAGTCATTTTTAGATTCTATGAAAAGGATATTTTCAGCTCAACGAATAAGTTGTTAGTTAACATTAATGTTTTTCAAAAATAATAATAGTAAAGAGTATCTAAATAGTATCTAAAATTTTTCATTAGACTATTATAATAGTCATATTGTTATCACTCCTGAATATAATGATATTCAAAGATTAAATAAAATACTTTTTACAAGACATTACTTTACTATAGTACAAATAAAAGATTATTTTAGTCTTTTCTCCAATATTATATCTTGGTATTAGGAAGATTAGAAGAAGAAAAGATCTGTTTTCTTATTAATTATAATATTTAAGTATTCATTAACAAGTTAAAATTGATAATAAATAATAAGCTTAATCTAGTGGTACTAATGTTTCTAAAACCTTTACATTATTAAGTTCTTATCAGTTATTTTTTATTTTTAATTTTTTATTTAAAAGACCAAAAATAAAAATGAAAGATTAATGATATAATATAAAACAAAAGTAAAATGACTTAATCATAAACAAATGTGTTTTTGTAAATTGTAATGGATTTCATTATTCTTCAAATATTATTTAAAAAAAGAAACAACAAAATTACTTAAATATTTTATACAAAAAGAAACCTTAAAATGACTGAACTAGCAATACAACTTACTTTCTTTCTCTAAAAAGAAGGTTTTATCCAATTAGATGAAAAAGGTGGATGAGTAAATGAAGGAGAAAGATGTGTAGAATATTGAGGATCTGGTTTTTCTAGAAATAATTAATGATATAAGTCCAAAGTATTTAAATAACAAAATAACAAACCAAGAAGTCCATCTATTTGAATATAATCAGCATAATCCCTTACAGGAGAGAATGCAGAAGATACAATAATTGTAGAATCTACAGAACGGTCTTGAAACTGTGGAGAAGGAGGACAACTATTACTTTTTATTATACTTTGTTGTGATGAGAAATTTTGTAATGAATTTAAGGTAACTGGTTGTGATGGGGCTGTTTTATTTAATTTGAGAAAGTATTTTTGTGCATGACTTCTAATTTGAACAACTGTTTTTGTACCAATAAGTTCTTTAATTTTTTTCCAATCCTTATGAAAGAGAGCAAGACCTTCAACAAATTTAGCATGTTCAGTATCAGTCCATATCTCTCTTTTTTTAGTTATTGTATATTGTTTCCTTTGCTTTTTAGTATATACTAAGTGGTCTGATAGTAATGGAGATGATGATGTAGATTGTGGTGAACCAGGAGAAAGGGGGTATTGAGGAACGAAAGGGTCATGAGGTGAAATTGACATGATTTTATTGTTTCGTTTGTTGAAGATTCTTTGGTTTAGTATTTTTTACTTTTCTATTGAATAGTTTTTATATTAAAAAGATATGGTTTATTGCAAAACTGTGAGATTTTTGGGAATGAAAAAAAATGAACACATTAAAATTGAGATTTTAACTAAAATGTTGGAGAAAGATAGAACAAAAAATACCGAGATTGTTATTTGATTAAAAGATATGAGATTATATCTGATACTTAAATACCTTGAAATAGTAAAAATAAGATTAAATGAACCAGTTTCTGAGGCATAATGAGATAGAATGTTTGATGGCAAGTTTTCCTAATATTAATCCAGGATTGATTGAAGAAGAGTATTTTTCTAGAAAAGGAAATTTAGATAATATTGTAGAACGTTTATTAGAAATAGAAAATGAATACACTATTCAAAACTCATTGTTTGAAAATATTAATTGTGATTTTGATCACTCAGAATTGAAGTCAGAGGATTGTTGTATTACAAAAAATTATATACCATGTAATTTTCACTCAGTCTTTACTACATCAGTCGAAAAGTAAAATAGAAGTACTTGAATAAATTCAATGAGAAAGAAAAAAAGTAAAAAAAGAAATAAAATGAGTAGTTAGTAAGCTAAGGTTAATATCAGAATTATATCTTTTTTTTTTAGAAAACAAAAAAGTATTTTTCGAAGGAAAAAAGTCCAAAGGAAAAATAGCTGAAAACTCAAAAGAATACTCTCAATAAGAATAAAAGGATAAACCCCCATAAAAAAGGATTATGAAAAAAAATTTACAAAATAGGGACAAGAATTATTCTTTTTAACACTTAATTGAATTAGTAAAAAATTTTTTCTATAAAAATGATTAGAATAAAAACACATTATCATAACATAACATAAATTTTTAACAAATAATCTCATGAAACATAAAGGATTTCTGTAATTTCAACAAAGGAATAAAGTAAATCACATAAATTTATTAAATAAAATGGAGGTGGGTGATAAGTAAAAGTAGGAGTGTTATTAAGAAAAAGAACGAAATCCCAAATTTCACAATGAGAAATAAATTGAAGTAAAAGTGTAAAAATAACTTTGTTTTGTTTAAGGAATAGAAGATAACTTTGGTTAATGGTTTTATTTAGTCTCTAAATATGATAAAATTAATTTAGTTTAAATAAATTGCATAACAAGGTTATATTTATCAAAACAATACAAAAATAAATAATAGAATACTCTTAATTAGAACCAAGGTTTTATTCAATTAAATAAAATTACATGAAGTAATTATACAACTAACTTAATCTAATAAATTTTTACAATCACTTTTTCTGGTTTAATAAACCTAATTAATGTTATAACTCAATGATTATTATTGTAATAAGAAACAGAATTAATAATATTCAGAAATATAAAAATCAGAAGTCTTAACAAAGTGGATAAAATACTAGAAAATTATTTATTCTTCAGAGTTATCATATAATCATTTTATGAAATTAGTAAATACAAAACATTAAAGATATTTAAAGAACTTAATAGTTCAAGTATTTAAGAAATGGAAATTAAGAAATGGATAATTATCTAAGACAATATAATTTATTCAAACAATGACAAATAATCGAATATTCATTTAAATAAATTATTAATGACATTTTTATAGAGAAGACATATAAAATATCTATTAATCAGTTATTCAACCAAAGGTTTTACTTGAAAAGTTCATTTTTTATTCCTCAATAAAGAGACATTATTGAATTTTTCATTTTTTTATACGACTTTTTAAAAATATTTCATTATGAAAAAAAGTGATAAAAGAAGACAATATAAATTATCTAATAACCATTCTTGTTTGACTGCTACTCTAATTTCTTTGATGTCTAAATACTTCAAATTTACTATTTCATTTCCTAATAAAGTACCTTCAAAAACTTTATTATTTCCTAAAGTAAAAACAATACAAACATTAGATGGCGATATTATTGAGATTTATTCAATAATTAAAAAAAGGATTTTTCAACAAAGAAGCAAATCATCTTCTAATAGAATTAATCAGAAAACTCCAAGACTAAACTTTGAAAGAAGATTTGAGCTGTTTCATTTTCTTCAAGACCTTGCAGAATTGAATAAATGCTGTTCTATTCATAATTTTGTTGAAGAGCATGGTGGAATAAGTGGAAATTTTTATATTATTTATAATCAGAAGATACTTACTAAAAATGAAATTCTAACTCTTGGTTATAAAACTTTACAACGAATATATCAAAAATCAGAATTCTTTGACAAGAAAAAACTAAGAGTATTTGATTTTAATGAGTTGTCAGAAAAATCATTATCAAACTAACAAGGTTTAACTTATTATTGATAATTTTTTAATTAATCTATTTAAAATTTATATTTATTGAATATAAAAATGTTTATTCTAAAATTTAAAGAAGTTATAGACTCTTTCCTTTTACCTTTCTATAAGAAGAAATTATAATATTTCATTCTTTTAGAGAGTCAAATTTCTTCATTAGATGCTACGATTATAAGAAGATTATGAAATTGTCTAACTTAAAGTTAGGCTAATAGTTCTAGTTTAAGCATTAATGGTTTTAGGTTCTTCTCTTATAAACAATGATCAACTTTATTAAACTATATTATTCTTAAAAGTCAATATAAAAATACAACGAAACGAGAAAACAACAATTTAAAAAAGCTATATTTTGAAAAATAAAAATAGTTTTCATTGATTCTTAATTTAACTGAAAATAAAATATTTTAGAAGAAGAAATCATGAAAATTTTATCAAACTTAGTACTGTTCTATAAAAATTATCAAATGACTTATTAAATTTGAATGACAAGACTATTTTTTATATAACAAATAAAAATTAAAATCATTCTATTTATTGAAGGATTAACAAATCTAAAAAATACTCTTATTAAAATTTAATTTTAATTTAAAGTTATTTTCAAAAAATCAATCACATTACCTAAAAGAAGAAGATAAAGCATCTTTAACACCTTTTTTTTCAGAAACAACCTTATTTTCATTACAATTCCTTAATAGTTTTAAAGTAATAAAATAAATTCAAAAAAAACGTGAAGAAAAGTAAAAATACTATAAATTAAATTGAGATGAATCGAAAGAAGTCATATGGATAAAAATTAGTATCAAAGATAAAGAAACATCTATTGAAAAAATTCCTACACAATTATAATAGAAAGAAACAATGATTGCAAGAAATATTAAAGTAGGATATAAAGAAGTTTGATAATGGAAGATTTTTAAATAAGGGTTAACAAATAAAGCAAAGATTGGAATAACTAATATAATAAAAGTTGGTAATAACAATTCTTTATCAATTAATAAAAACAATAATTGAACAATAAGAATAATCAAAAAATACACAATTTCATACCTTTTAATATTATTAACTGCTCTTACCCATATTTGATTCCCATAAGGTACATGGTAATTCTTAGACAATACCTCTTCAAGTAATATTGTTAATTCATTGATTTTATTCATTATTAATAAGTTACACCAAAGAAGATCTAAATAAAACAACGTTCTTCATTTGATTTTGTTAAATTAAAATTATATTATAAAGTTATTATATTTTTTATTATTTAAATTTCAATCAAAAAGATCGATTTTTAATTAATTTTTATTTTTTTTATGAATTCTTTCACTTTTAGAATAACAAAAAATAATATTAAAAAAAAAAGATATTCAAATTTCCAAACAGAATTACTTTTCTCAACTATTTATTTAAGTAAAAGAACTTGAAAATTAGAATATGCGAATAATACTGTTAGTAACCTTTATTGCATTTTGTTATGCTAAAGTATTAGATGCAGAGACATTAGTAAAACTTCAAAAGTTATCACTTGGATGTCATCTAAATGGAGTAGTATATTATACATCAAGCCAATGGTTTGAAGAAGAAAATAAAACAAAGCACTCATTAAAGAAATTAACATTAACGGAAACTGAGCCAATTGATTTAGTTCCATATAGTGAAGAATCATTTTCTAATTTTGTATGCCTTAATGAAGGTGTTTATTTACTTCACAATGGACAAATTGCAAAAATAGAGAATGATAAAATTATAGACATTACTTCTACACCTATTTCTATTGACACATTTAAAATGATTTCTGTTGATGGTAAATTAAGAGGACTTGCATCAATGACTGTTTTCCCAGAAATGACTCTTGAAGAATCAGCAAAGAAATTTATTGAATTAGAAAAACAAAATTATAGAGTATATGATCAATTAATGATAAGAAGATGGGATACTTATTGGGATGGACAATTCCAACATTTATTTACTTTTAAACAAGAAGAAGATAAATCATTTACATTTAAAGATATAATGAATGATAAAAAATATGATTGTCCTGCACGTCCATTTGGAGGAAATGAAGAATATGATATTAGTCCAGATGGAACAAAAATTGCATTTTCTATTTTATTAGAGAATCCAGCATCATCATTAGATAATAATGTTTATTATGCAACATTTGATAATCCATTAGAATGGAATATTATTACAATAGATAATAAAGGATATGATAATCAACCATTATTTAATAATGATGGAAGTCTTTTATATTATCTTTCAATGTCAGCACCTAAAGATGAAAGTGATAAATCAGTATTAAAATCATATGATTTTAAAGAAAAAATAATTAGAGATATTACTGGTAAGATTGATTTATCATTTAGTGCACCAATGAAAATTGTTGGTAATTATATGCATCTTTCTACTCAAATTGAAGGAAATGTATATATTGTAGGATTAGATACATCTAAAAGTGAATTAACTCGTGAAGATGTTAATATTATTACACAAAAAGGTACTGCTGGATCATTTGTTTTTACAACAACAGGAATAATTTATGAATATAATTCATTTACTCTTCCACAAGAATTATTCATTTTTGAAAATAAAGTCATTAAACAAATTACTCATATTAATCAAGAAGTTCTTTCAACAATTAAATTTGGAGAATATAAAGAAGTTCATTATACTGGAGCAAATAATGATCAAATTCATGCATTTATTACTTATCCACCAAATATGAAAACAAATACAAAATATCCAGTAATTTTATATACACATGGAGGACCAGAATCACCATGGACTAATAATTTCCATTATAGATGGAATCCACAAGTTATAGCAGCACAAGGTTATATTGTTTTTGCACCAAATTTCCATGGATCAGGAAGTTATGGAGATGAATTTTTAAAAGCTATTAGAAAGAATTGGGGAGGATGGCCATTTGAAGATTTAATGAAAGGAATGGATTATTTAAAAACTAATGAACCAATAGTTGATATAGATAATGCATGTGCTATGGGAGCAAGTTATGGAGGATATATGATGAATTGGATTAATAGTCAAAATACAGGTAGATTTAAATGTATTATTTGTCATGATGGTATTATGGATTCTGAAGGTAGTTATTATTATATGGATGAAATGTATTTCCTTGAAACAGAATTTGGATATCCAATGTATGAAGATAATACATATTATAAAAAATATAGTCCATTAAATTATGTTAATGGATATAATACTCCTCAATTAACTATTCATGGAGGTTCAGATTATAGAATTGATGTTGTTGCAGGATATCAACAATTTGTTACATTACAAAGAAAAAATATTGAAAGTAAATTAGTTATTTATCCTGAAGAAAATCATTGGGTATTAAGACCATATAATTCTATTGATTGGCATACTCAAGTCTTTAATTGGCTTGCCAAATATCTTCCAAAGAAATAATTTTTAATTATTTTTTTTTTTTATTAATTTAAATTATAATATTTTTAAAAATTTTAAATTTAAAGAAAATAATTAAATTACATTTTTTATTTTAATTTATATTTTTTCTTTCTCTTTTTATTAACTTTTAGAAATACTTTTTAATGTTTCAACACATTGAATTTTTCCATTAGAATCTTGAATTAATGGATATTTTGATATAAATTCTTGATATTCTTTTTCATTTGAGAATGAAAGAAAATTCATAACATCTTTTACTTCAATAACTCCACCAATAGACATAAATAAAAGCATAAGACCTTTTAATCTTACTTTTTCTATTGCAAGTTTCATTATTACTTTAAATTTAGGAATAGCTTCTTTAAATAATTTAAGATATGTAAAATATTCTCCATTATCAAATGCTCGTTTTACATTTAATACAAATTGAATATTTGGATTTATTAATATTTCTATTGGAATTTCTCTTAATAATGAATAATTAGTAATTGGTGAAACATTTTTTGAATCCATATTACAAAGAATCATTGCTGATATATAAAAAATTACTTTTGGGTTATTATTTGAATATCCAAATTTTTTATATAATTGTTTTAATGCTGATGCACATTGAATAAATTCAGAAACATCATTCTAATATAATTTAATATTTATTGTAATAATATATTTTTTTTTTTAAAAGAAAAAAAAAAACAACAAACATTTTCTAATGAAATATCTGAATGTATTTCATATACTTTAATTGAAAATTCATTTTCAATATGTTGTAATGTTAAATCTTGTCTAATTGCTTTTAATTGATCACAAATATAATCATATTCTTTATTTTCTTTATATTTTGTTAATACATAATTTAATGATTTATAAAGTACTTGTAATGGTCTAACTTCTGATGATTTTGGTTCTCCTTTAATTCTGAAATAATGTTTTTCTAATTCTTGTGATGTTCCAATTAAATTATCATTTTCATCTTTCAAATTAATTTCTGGTTTTTTTTGAATTGATTCAACTTCTTTTAATGTATTTACTCCATCATAAAAGTTTATAAAAAACTTATCTTTTGGTTTCTTTGATAATTGACTTTTTATTTGATGATGTGAATGTGTTATTTTTTTTTCATTTTCATTATTTTGTTTTTCTGTAATTGTTTTAATTTCTTTTGGTTCTTTTGGTTTTTTATAATACTCATCTTTCATTTTGGGATATTGTTTTTGTTCTAATTCAATTTGAGGTTCTTCTTCTTTAAATATTGAATCTCTTTTATAATATGGTTTACTACTTTGAATTGGTATTATTTTAGGTTTTGAAGGTGATGTTAATGTATTTGGTTTCTTTGTGGTATTTCCACCATAACTTATTGTTTTTGGTATTTCTTGTTTATACTTATTATGTTCTGGTTTATATTTATTGTATAATTGATAACCTTGTTCATACTGATTTTGTGGTTGTTGGTTATTAACAACTTGGTATGGTGAAACCAAATTTGGAATTAAAGAAATATTTTGATATGTTGGAACAAAAGATGGTGAATAATATGGCATAGGTTGTTGGTTGATAGGAGAATACCCATTAAATGGTGTTTGGTATATATTTTGATATGTTGTATATTGATTGTAATATGATGGTTGTGAAGAAGAAGATAAAGAAGAAGAGTTTATTGAGTAAGGATAATTAGATGATATAAAATTATACCCATATTGCTGTTGTTGTTGTTGTTGAGAAGGAGATGGTTTTACAAAAGGAGTAGAATATGTTTGAGGTTCCTCTCTAATAGGTATTGGATTGTATAAAGGTTTTTGTAAGATATGTTGGTATTGTATAGGTTGATTTGTAGGATGAGATTCAATAGATTGGATTTGTTGTTTTTCAATAGGTTGTGATTCTTTTAATGATTTTTCTTCTGGAGGTTGTGATTCTTTTAGTGATAACTTTTCAATAGATTGGGATGATTTAGAAGGTTTTTTTACAAGAGGTTTAGAAGGTTTCTTTTCATTTTGTTGAGGTGTTTCATCACACATTTGTTGTATTTTCAATAATTGTAAATATACAGGATCAGAAATGGTTTTTTTACTTTTCTTTGGTTTAAGAATAGGTTTTGTTGAAGGGGCTTTATTAATTTTAATAGGTTGTAATGAAGTTTTTTTTGTAGAAGAAGATAAAGGTCTATTACTCATGAACGAAGAAGTGAAATTAAGAATTAATTGATTAAAGAAAAAGAAAAGGATTTTAAAAAAGAAAAAATGGTTTGAAGGAAAAGTCTTCTTTTTTAGAAAGAAGTCTTTAAATACCCTTTTTTTTTTTTTTTTCTTTTCAATATTTAGAATAAAATAGGAGTTTGGTTTTTAGTTTAATTAATTTTTAGTTTAGTTTCTAAAGAAAATAACTTACTAATTCATTTCATTATGCTTAGTATCATAGATAAGTATATTGGTAAACTTCTTGAAACACCAAGTGAAGAACCAAGAACAATTGTACAAGAATTAAGTAATACTAGATCAGAAACCAAAAGAGCAATTTATCTTGGGATGTTAAAGAATATATTAGAATTATTAAATGTAAGAAATAAAGGATATTCTATTGTATTTATGAATCAATTAACAAGTGATCTTCAACGATCAGAAATATATCAAACAATGCCAGTTTCTAAAAGTGAAATATTGTTATTAGTTTGTTTTATTAATTAATTAATTAAAAAAAGATATCATATAAAACAAATAATTAAATAATATAGACAAATATTGTTAATGATATTGGATATCGTTTTAATTCAGAAGAAAGTTTAGAAAAAGTAGTTAAAGCACAAAGTATAATTCGAGGATTTTTATATCATAAAAGATATATAACATATAAAGCATTTAGTGCAACTAAATTTCAACAATATAATTCATCATTTTTAAATTTACATGAAAAACAAAATCATTATGTAGAAAATATAGAAACATTAATATATTATTTAGATGAATTAAGAGCACAACCAAAATTTAAAATTTTAGGAGAATATCCATATAAAAATTATTATAATTCACTTACAACAATTCTTAATTTAGAAAGGCAATTTAAAAATGGATTAAATGATATTTATGGAACATTTCCTAAAGTTTCTGGAGTTGGAGAAGTTGTAAAAAAATATTGTGAAGGAGTTTTAGAAGCATATAAAGAAATTAATTTACAAGGAGCAGTTATTATGACAACAGTATTTTATGAAAAAGAAAATCCATATTTTAAAGAAGTTTATGAAACATTATCAAAAGGACAAACATATGCATTTAGATATCTTCTTCAAAGTTTTCCAAGAATTCAACATTTTAGTAATTTAATAAAATTACTTACAATAATGAAAGAAGCTGTAGAAAAATTACCAGAATATAAAGAAGAAATAAAAACATTAGAAGAAACATTAAAAGATTTAAATAATATTAATATAACACTTCATGATACTATTAAAAGTGAAGAAATGAATAATAAAGAAATTACAATTAAAAGAAATGAAAGAACAGAATTTTCAACACTTTTATTTAAAATTAAAAAAGAATTTACTAAAACACCATCAGTAGTTGAAGTTTATTTAAAATTAGGAAAAGAAATAGGTAATATTGAAGAAAAAAGATTTTTAAAAGAAACAAGAGTTACAATAGAAATAATACCAAATATTGATAATTATCCACCTAATCTTAAAACAAATACACAAACAGTTAATTTTGGTTCTTCAAATAATCTTACAGAAAAAAAACATTCTACTTCTTTAAGACCTAAATTACAAAAAAGAACAAATAGACAAAAAGAAGAAGTAAAATTAAAAGCAAGTGGTGAATTTATGAAAGATATTGAAGTATTAAAAAATAATGAATTAGAAAGTATTAAATTTGAAGCTACACTTTTTATTATGAATGATATTATTTATGTAAGTAAAATGGATTCATCAGAAAAATATCATATTTTAACTGAAATACCATTAACTGGAAATGGATTTAGTGTAAGTAATTGTATTGGAAATAAATTTAATATTGGATCAAAAGTTTTTGATTTTACTATATCATTTATTATACCAAATGAAGATGATGCACGTAGTTTATTTTTATTATTAAGAGAAGTTTTCTTTGTTCATTCTCCACCTAAATTATTTGGTGGATCATTAGAAGATATTTTAGAAAGAGAAGGTAATACAACAGGTATTCCTTTATGTATTAAAGCATTAGGAGAATATTTAATGAATCCAAATAATTTACAAACAGAAGGAATTTTTAGAAAGAATGGAGCATCTAATAAAGTTAGTAGATTAGCACATGTATTAGATCAAATGCCTGATCATTTTAATTCATTTAATGAATATACAGTTCATGATATAGCAGCAACATTTAAAAAATTCTTTATGGATATGTCAGAACCATTATTTTCATCAGAAGTTGTTGATTTATTTATTAAAATTATTAAAGATTCTCCTGATGAAAAAGATGAAATTAAAAAAGTAATGAAAGAACATATGAAACCAATGTATTTTAAATTGGCTGATTTCCTTATTCATGTTATTAAAAAAACTGTTGAAAATGAAAATATTACATTAATGAATGTTCATGCTATGAGTGTTTGTATTGGACCAGCAATTATTAGATCAACAAATGAAATAGTTGTTCAACCAAATTCAAAGAATAATGATGTAGAAGGTGCAGTAACAAAAGTAACAAGATGCAATGAAATATTAGCAGAAATTATTTCTGATTGTGATTTCTTCTTTCAATAATTTAATTTAAATTAGTTTTAAATAAAATTAAAATATAAAAAAAAATCATTTTGAAATAATAAAAAACAAATCATAAAAATTTATTCTTTTTTAATTCTTCTTCTTTTTTTCACATTAAATTTAAACAATCTTCAAGTTCTGGTATCATGATTACATGTTGAGAAATATTCCCTAATCTATATACTGACTTTTTTGGTAATGAAACTACTGTTGCTTCTTCTAAAAAATGTGGTTTTGTTCCTTTTGTTAATTTATAAGTAATTCCTCCAATTCTCATAGTTGCAATTCCACTTTTTCTAAATTGAATAGTTCCAATATATCCTGACATTCCTTTTAATGGATTTTCAACTAATTTAATATTTCTTTCCTCATCAATTTTTTCTTCTTTTTCTTCTTCTTTCTTTATAATATTATTACTTTCTTTTTCTGTTATTTCTACTCCCTTTTGAATAGGTAAAACTGATGGTATTTGCATCATAATATATTCATCATATAAAATTCCACTTTCACTATGTAATGGATTATTAATAAATCCTGGATTTTCTTCAATTGTTTCTAGTGGTGTATAATATGTTTTTTCTTTATCTAAAACTGGTTCTTTTATTTCTTCTTTTTTCCCTTTTATTTCTTCTTCTGGGTCTCTTAATGGAAGTGTAATTGGATGATTTGGATTACATGGATCAAAATCTAATTCAGGGTTTAATAATAATGTTTTCTTCTTTTCTTTTTTATTTTCTTCTTTCATCCCTATATCTTCTCCTGCCGTCATTGTTAAATTACTTATCCCTAACCCACCATTTCCATGTGCAACTGGTCGTGGTTTGAATACTCGTGGTGTTGGTGTAAATGTTGTTTTCTTAATTTTTGCTTGTTCTTTTTTAACTTTCAATTTAGCTCGTCCTTCACTCTCATTATTTGCTTCAGGTTTAAATCCTGCTGCTCGAATATTAGGTGCAAATTGAATTTTTGGTTGTGACGGTTGTATCCCACGGATAGAAGTTAGTCTTGAGTTGGCCGTGTTTTGAGAGTTTTGCGTTAATAATTGCGAAAGAGGAATGTTTTGATGAGGTTCACTCATTACTTCTTTTATAATTAAAACTCTTTTTTTTTTATTTAAACTTTTTTGTATTTTTATTATTTATTATTATTTGTTATAGTTTATCCTTCAATAAAAATATCATCTCTTATTATTTTTAAGTATAATGATGTTCAATAATAGTGAAGCAAAATATCAAAAATAAAACTGTTATAGTGTCTTAGAAACATTGTCTTAATAGAACTTCAAAATTCTAAGAACTCTAAGAGCCATAGATTTATGTTAACTGAAGATTTCCTTAATGCTTACCTCATTAGTAGTGGTGCTGATTACATTAACAAAGACATTGTAATAAAAGAAATTGTTCAGGTGGTAAATAAACACCACTTATCTATTTGTTTTGATCCTATTACAAAAACTATAGTAATGTATGGGGAGTTACTTTATAACTATGAAATTTATCAATACAGTTTTCCTATTCTTGTGGACTTTCCTTCTGACTATCCCAAATTACTGCCCATTATTAAAGTTAACTTGCCCCACATCCCACGTTGTTCCTTATTGAATAGTGATGGTTCTTTTATTTTTAAACAATTGTTAGGTGATAAAACATTGCCTCTAGTAAATATTTTTGAAATTATCATTTCTCAATTAAAGTTAATTCCTCTTCAATCAATTCCCTTCTATCCTTTGTCAAGTCCAATAAGTACAGTAGGATCATCTCAGTACAAACCAAATATAATTCAATCAGACTTAGGTCACACTAAAACTGAGTCTTCTCTAATCTATCGTAAAGACATCCAGTTCCCAAAACCAAACAAAGTTGAAAATGGACCAGTCGTTGTTAAACCGATAACACCAATTAATGTTAAACCGATAACACCAATTAATGTTAAACCAATAGCACCAATTAATAACAAATCAGAACTAGTAATTAATATTAAACCAATATCACCAGTTAACGCTAAACCAATATCACTAGTTAACGCTAAACCAACATCACCAATCAGAACACAAGTTAAAGGTAATCCACCTAAGCCTGCTCAAACAATTATAATTGGAAAAAGACATATATCAGGATTCGAGAACATTGATTTATACCTTGACCAGATTGACTATGAAAATAAATTAGAATACCTTGGGGAACTTTTAGGAGATCAAAAAATTACAAAGGAAGATTATAATAGGTTCAAATCAGATCTTCGTCAAATAGGCCCATTACCACCGCCACCAGAGAACTATGAAGATATATTATCATTGTATAAATATGGGAATATCAAAAGGTCGGAAATTTATTTAAATGTATCCCCTTCAAATAAAGAAGAAAAGGGTTATATTAAAAATATGGATGAACTTGATGAGATGCAAAGAACTTTTGCTGAAATGTTTCTTGATGGTGATATAGATGAAGAAGAGATGACATTTCTAAATAACAGTTATAAAGAACATTTTCGTGTAAAGCCAGAATAAAAATTCAATTGATTTTAACAATTAACTCATTTTCTTTATAAGGAAGAATTAGATGAAGTTTATCTTTTAATTCTAGAGGAATAAACCTTCCTCCTAGATAATGAATTCCTTTAAAGTTTTTCACTCCTAATTTTGGAGCAGATAAAGAAATTAGAACATCACATCGTTGAATCCCATCTTGAAGATACCCTTGTTCCACATCCCATCCTGATGGTATGTCAACTGAAATAATTGGGACTTTCAAGGAATTAATATGATTAAAAATTTCTTTAAATATTCCTCTAACTGGTCCTTTAAAACTAAATCCAAAAACTGCGTCAACTATAGCGTCATACTCAAATGAAGATAATTCTGTAATAACTGGAACATTTTGGATTTCTAACTGTTTAATAAGAAGTTGAAGGTGCTCATTTTTTGATTGTTTTGGATAATAAATTGTTACTTCATATCCAAATAATGACAAATACCTCCCACAGACTAGTCCATCTCCTCCATTATTTCCTGGTCCACAAAGTATTAAAATTTTCTTATTTCCTTTTTCAATCGGATATTCTTTTGTTACAACTTGGGCAACTGCTAGACCAGCTATTTCCATTAGTTGTACTAATGAATATTTGTATTTACCCATTAATTCTTCATCAAGTCTAATTGCTTGTTCTTGTGTTAAATATTGCATTTTGTTTTCTATTTGTTTTTAAGTTTTCTTTTTTAGTTTCTATTAATAAATTAGCTCTTTTATCAATTCAGAATATAGAACAAAATTAGTTGCAATGCTTATTGAGTAATGTTATAGAGTCTTGTAAAGAAAAATCAAACAAGACACAGATAATCATGTTCAAAGAAAAGAAAGATGAAATAACAATAAAATGTATAATAATAAAGTAAAAGAAATAACAAGAGAAAAGTGATTAGAAAAAGAAGAATACAAAGAAAAACAAACAAGAAACAAATTAAATATAATGATAATAAATATTATACAAATAAGAAATCTAAATTGTTAACAACAAATGAAATTGAAATAAAAATTAAAAGAATAAGAAGTGAAATAGAGAAATGAGAATAATCAGAAATACATAAAAAGTATGAGATAAAGAAATTATATTGTCCAAGAATTATATTCAATAAGAATAAAATAATAAAGAAAAACAAAGAAGAATTCAAATAGAAAACAAAAGATTGGACAAGTGAAGATATTAAAAGAAATGAAGAATGAATCAAAAACAAAAATCAAAACAATGAAATGAAATAAAACTACAATAATAATAAATTAAAAATAACATAAATAAAAAACACAGGATAAAGAAGAAGAATATAACAAATAATAAATTAACATTCTTCAAAATAAAATCAAAGAAATAAGAAGAAATTATTAAATAATATCAGATAAAAAAGATAAGTGATCTCAAATGAAATAATTCAAAAAATACGAGATACAATCAATGAAGAGAATGAAAAAGATGAAAACACAAATAAACAATATTCAATCTACTTTCAATAAAATAAATTAAAAGATAAATTAAAATAGAAAATATTTCATTACAAATAAAATAAATGAAATATAAAATAGAAATAACACAGAAATATGAAATAAAGATAATTTCATCATTCTCTGAGTTAATTATAAGAAGTTGAATATTGATGAGATGAAGAATAATGATGATGTAATGAAGAACATAAGAGATAAATAAAATCAAATCACTAAATATCAAAACTATGAGATAGAAGAAAAAACAAAAGAAGAATTAGACAATACACAAAGAGAAAATGAAGAAAAAAATCAATTAATATCAAATCATCAACAATTTATTGTTTATTTTTTATTTCAGAAATAAAGAAGAAGAAGAAAACAATAACATTAATGATAAATACACAACAAATAATGACAACATCATCATGGATAATACAAATGAACAAAACTACCATTATGAAAAAAACAGTACTAGAAATAAAAGAACAAAACACTGAATAGCAAAAACAAGAAATGATAATCAATCAATAAAAAATAAAACACAATAAGTCAAACAAATATAAATTTAATTGATATATTGTATTGATTTGCAATTATTTATTAAATAATAAATTAAATAAAAAAATAAGAAATAAACAAATAGAAAATATAATAAAAATGATAAATATTAATGTAAATAATGATAAGGAATACATTAATAATATTAAATTATCATATAAAATAAAATAAACTCAATCATAGAATATAAAATAGAGTATACCTCAATAATAAAAAACATCAATATGAAAAATAACTCTATTGATATTGATGATGAATATCTTAATATCATCATTAATCAAATAAAATAAATAAAAATAAATCAAATCATAATTTAGAATGAAAGATACAGAAATTATGATAATCCCATCATCACATTGGATGATTTAAATTTAATTATGATGAAAATAAATAACAGGAAATCACCAAGCATTGACATTATATATTTGTGTTATTGGAAAAGAATGTCATTACAATAAATTAAATAGGTATGAATAAATAAAAAGAATAAAAGACTATAATATCAAATGAGGGTATTTGAAGAAAAGAAATATGTATAAAGAAATAAAAAATAAGTTAATTAAAATAGAGAAATTAAAAGATGTTAAAATAATTGCAGTAGTAATCTCTATAAATTAATTAACAAATATTGAAAATATTAAATTAATTAAAGAATTAAAAATTGAAATTGATAAGATAAAAGAAATTAAAAACTATGTAATTAAAACTATGACTATGTCATTGAATATTGTTTCTACAACAA